CCCAGTTGCATCCCCTGGACTGATTGTAAGTCAGAAGACAGGCAGCTGGGAACTGGCTGAAGCCAAACTATAGTTGGTGGGGCATTTGCCCTAGTGGACCAGATCCCACTGCCTGATATGGAGGTGGCCTGCTCAATCAAGCTGTTTACTACACATACTGGCAGCAACTCCCCAGGAGATTCCAGGACTAAATATGGGACCTGTTGCATGCATGAGCCAGGGAATAACTTATGGGGAAAACTACCAGTGAGTAACAAGCCAAAAACCATCCGGAAAACATAACACAGCTTGCATCTCCCGTAAGTCTTTTATTGGTCTGTTTGGGGTTTCAGCCAGTTGAGGATTATATAACTGCAAGAGATCCTTTGTGGCTGCCACTGTTGAATTTCTCTGAGTTGTGTTGTCACAAAGTGTCGCAGTCCCTGACTCTGACAGAAAGATGCTAGTAATGAGCACAATGTTTTGCATAGCGCATTTCCTCCCAGCAAAGTGATTCTTTGCTGCCTGGCCTAGTAATAATTATTTACTTGCTGTGCTAAGGCTAAGTGATAGAGCATCTGTTATTCACCCCTAAAGTGCATACTGTTCCGTAAACCTAGGCGCCAATATGAAGGAAGTTTTTTTCCTCCTCCCCCACCCATCGAAAAAAGAGGGGAAAATACCATCCCAGTGCTTTGCCATCCCATGTTGCCACAGGGCTCAATAATCTATAGCTCATGTAATAATTTCATTTAGCAGCACAATAAAAGTCAAATTAGTTTCTGGGAGACGGTTATGTATGGTAATCTGGATTACTGCAGCCTCCAACAGACCGTATTAGCATCGTAATGTTATTTCTGCCCTTGGGATTCTGGCAGTGGGGTTCTTTATATATTTTTAGTTTATATTTATTGGATCATTATAAAAGCTGAGTCCTTAAACTCCATGATAAATGGATTTGTAAATATTTAAAGGAATGCGCAGTAATAATGACCGCAACATCAGAAATATCACATCTTTCCCTGCCTTCGTTTAAAGAGGACAGCTAGTTCAAAACACTGCCTAGGGATTTAGTTTGCACATATTTAGGAGAAAACGGACAGAAAGATTGTAGAGTTCAGGCACTGCTCAGAACATGTATGCAGCCTTGACCAATTTCCCTTGAATTCTGATGCTCCTATTCTTCCTTAAAGTTGGGGTGAACAACTTTTATTTTGCTTTTTTTACTGCTTTGGCTCATACTTAGAAAGGCGGATACAGTGGTACCTCTGGTTGTGAACGGGATCTGTTCTGGAGGCCCGTTCACAACCTGAAAAGAACGCAACCCACGTCTGTGCATCTGCGCACGCACGGGTTGCGATTCACTGCTTCTGTGCACGTGCATGGTGTCATTTTGCGCGTCTGTGTATGCTCAAGTGGCAAAACCCGGAAGTAACCCTTTCTGGTACTTCCGGGTCGCTGTGGGATGCAACTTAAAAATGCGCAACCTGAAGCAAACGTAACATGAGGTTTGACTGTACTAGAGTCTTCTACTGAGGAGAAGCCCCAGTGGATAGTGAGCTCCCCGTTCTCTTCTCCTAAGTAGGTAATTTGTCCATGGAGTTTTCTTGGCAAGGATACTGGAGTGGCTTGCCGGTTCCTCCTCCAGGTGGATCACGTTTGGTCAAAATTCTCCACTATGACCTGTTCATTCTTGTGTGCCCTGCTCGGCGTAGTTCA